AAAGGACATGGAAATGTCCAGTATCGTTTAAGGTCAACTTTCTATGAACTTCCCGAAACTCCCTTGTGAGGTGTACACAACACGTGTGTTTGGAACTATCTGTAGGTGTGCGTGTGTGTGTGTGTGTGTGTGTGAGTGGGTGTGCATGCATGTGTGTGACTCCCAGACCATGCTAGACAAGTGTCAGACAGTGAGGGTGGGGCATGGGAGGAGAGAGGAGGGGATGGGACTCGGTGTGAGGGTGCCGCTGCTGACACTGGGCGGCATATGCTGGGGAGGCTGAAGGGGGCCTGCTTTGTGACATGTATAATTTCCACCAAAATTGACACCCAGAAGAAAGTGCCCGGAGAGCGAGAGGTCGGTCAGAGCGGAGGAAGTGACCTCATCTTGGCCCGTGGGCTGGCACACGGCGGGGCTCGCTCACTCACGGCATGGCTTGGGGTTGGACCAGCATGCCTGAGGCACACAGCGAGGGGGACAAGGCATCCTAGAACCCCCCCAGAGAGGGCCCCCTGTGGGCTGCACAGGGAAGCACCAGCCCTGCAGACAGGATGGCTCTAGACGCCAATCAGGCCAGGGACTTCTCAGGCACAGCTCTCTGGCCTCGTGGTCCCCAGATTGAAGAAGAACCTGCTGTTGCCTCTGCTCATGTCGGTGAAAATGCCCCAGAGCTCACCAACAGGCAAAGCCGAGTGTGGCTAATTAGATGCAAATCATTAAAAAAAATATGCTGTGGAGGGGTACCTTTCTAGCTCTTTTACTTGGAATGAGCAAAGTACTATTAATCAAGTTGCTTCTCATGTAAATGGCAATAAACCCATCAGTCAGAAGAAGCTTTGGAAGCTTATGCAAATGAGAACTTGTCTGAAGCGTCCCCTGCATGGGCTCACAGTTGGGAAGCCGTGAGGTGGTGTGTGATGTGGCTATCTGGAGGAGCCCTGGTGGCGGAGGGGTTACTCTTTGGGCTGCTGAACTCGAGGTCAGCAGTTCCAAACCACCCATCACTCAGTCCTGTGATGTGTTACAGCCTGGGAAACCCACAGGGGCAGATGGGCTGGGTTTGGTAGGAGGTGAAGCCCCTGCTCTTATTTCTCATGAACTCGTGGCTGCATCCAAGTCATGGTGCTTTCCATGACTGCCTGGGCTAGGTGAGAGCTGGCCATTGAAGATGGAAGACTGAAGAGGCATTCATGCATCCGAACTGTGGGATATTGGAAGTGCCACAGACTGCCAAAGGACAGAAGAACAGCCAGAGTGCTCCTCAGAGGCCAGGAGGTGGTAACATGGACTTTGCACCTGTGGTCAGGACAGACCAGTCCCTGGAGCAGGACATCATGCTAGATCGCGGGGCAGCCAAAAAAAGGAAGGCTCTGGACAAGATGGGTTGACACCGTGGCTGCAGCAACGGGTTCAAACATGAGAGGCATTGTGGTGATGGTGCAGGACGGGGCAGTGTGTCCTTCTGCTATGCCCAAGATCGCCCCAGCCAGAACTGACGAGATAGCCTTTAGCAATAACTTCCACGGTGTTGGCTGGGGCCCCCATCAGTCCCACTCAAACCCTCACGGGAATGTGCAGCTGGTTGTGGAAACGTCCTCGCTCCCCGGGAGCACCTGGCTGCAGTGACCAGCTGGCCTTCCAGGTGAGTACGTAAGGCAGGGGATGAACAGTTCCTCCTCCCAAGCTTACCATGAAGACGGATTTGACCTCGAACCACCGTAAAATCCCAGGTAGCTTGTATGCAGTCATGTAGATGGTCCTCTCGATCCACATGTTCTGCAAAAGGCACACACACACACACAACACACATGCATACACACACATGCACACGGGCACACACAGGACTGTTAGTAGAAGTCTGCTAGTGGGGTGAGAGGTTTGGCCCTAAGATTGAAGCTGGAGAAAAGGCCAGCGGATGGCTGTTGTGAACAGGTCAGCCCTGGGGCCGTGCGGGTGGTCCAGCTCGATGCCATAGAGCTGGGATCGGCTTAACAGCACACAATAAGTGGGACAAGCCAGCTTGCTGGTTCTCAAGAATGGCGAACTGCTGGGCATGTCACTGAAAGGTTAGCAGTACCTTGGGAGAGGGCGGGCAATCAGACGCCACGGGGTACTCATGAGCCAGTCCTAACTGGACGGCCAAGAACATCGACCTGTGTTCCCACCACAGCATACGCATAAACGGGGAAACACCAACCACTCAGACCTGGGCTGCCAACCACTACAGGGTCAGCAGTTTGAAACCACCAGCCACTCTTGTAAACCCACAGGAGCATTTCGACCTTGTAGGGTTGCTATGAATCAGAATTGACTTGGCAGCAGTGAGTCTGGCTTTGGGGTGTTGTTGGGGTTTTGTTTTTTTCCTGTATCCAGAGAGTCCAGCATCGTTACGTAAGATGCCTTACTAAGTATAAAGAAGCATATCTTTCATCCCACGGTTTTCATTGGGTTTGCAGCTTGGGACCCCGGTGGGGCATTCCACTCTGTCCTATAAGGTGGCTGTGAGTCCGATTCTCCTGGGTGGCATTAAGTCTAGTAAGTCTTCCCTGGGGCCATATCTTCCTGAGAGCAGCTGGTGGCTTAGAACAGCTTCACCTGGGCCCAACCCACAGGTACACCTTCACCTACAAACTGCTGCACCCCAATGCCACCCACCAGGCTGAGACAGCCTCCCCCAGGGCTCTGGTCCTCTGAGGGGACCCTGGGGTGAAGGCCTCCTAAGGGATGAGCCTGGGTGGCCTGTTCCCAGGAGGTTCCCCAGGCACCCACTCTTTAAAAGCCTTGCTGTAGCTGGTGTCTTACAAAGATGGAGACCATCAGGCTGGTGGGATCACCTATTTTCTGAAAGGCTACGTGAGCCCAGGACTAGTTCTGTGTTGGTGGCATGGGGGCATCCGGTGTGATGTCTGGAGATGTTTGGGGTTGTCACATAGGAGGGGTGCTACAGGAGAAAGGCAAGGGTGTCTGCTTCCATAAGGCTTTATGGCCTCAAACACGCTACGAGGCAGTCCTACCCTGTCTTGTTGGGTCCCCAGGGGTCCGACTCCAGTGCACAGCAAGCAGTGGACACGGAGTCCTAGTGAGAGGCTGTCAGGGGTGCTGCCCTGCAGCCTACCCGACACAGACCACCCAAAGCAAAGGACTCCCGGCCCAGAAACAGCGATGGCACAGGGGATGGGGGACACCCATTAGAGGGCACTGAGTGGCAGAGAAGGTTGGGCACCTGGCCCTGGGTTCTGAGGGACCTTGCCCTGCCCCATGCCCTCTGGCCTGCCTGTCATGCACCTGAAGAAAGATCCATGCACCCTTAGGCTCAGGGAACCATGAAGGGTGTGTGGGGGTACAGCCAGTGTGAAGACACAAGTAAGTCAGAGCACTGGACTGGCCACCGTGCTGCCATCACTGCCCAGAGGTGATCACCACTCTCAGGATGTGAATGAACAAGGCATCGGGGAGTCTGAGAATCAGCAGAAAAGGGTTTTTGATTCTGGGAGGATACTTGAGTTCCTTCTTCACCAAAGACAGTTCAGTTATTGGTAATACGATTGATCAATTGATGGATCAATTGCTGGTTTATTTACTTACCGCAAATTCATTGTCTGGGTTTTTCTCTCCTTTCCGGATCGGCCGAGAATACTCGAATCGCTGTACCTCATTCACCCTGTAAAAACTAGGGAGCCAGGCACGGCTTTAGACCTGCAGCAGCCTCTGTGCTGTGCAGGTGGGGCGCAGCCTCAGAGCAGGCCAACACAAGCCTGGAAATACATTCAACCACCCTCAGGGGCCACACCAGAGGCCTCATCGTCCCCCCACCAACCTCGTAAGAGTGATGTTGGCAGGTGGAAAAATTAACTCCAGTCTTTGCCTCCACCAGGTCGCTGCCAACCCCCAGGGGAGAAGAGATGCTGAGTGAGTGTGAATCGGGCTCAGCCAGGCAAGGTGGATTGAAGGAGAGAGGAAAAGGCTGGCTGGGGCCTGCATGGGAGGTTTGCGGCTGCTGTTGACTGTCTAAGGCAGTGGTTCCCAACCTTCCTGATGCCGCGACCCTTTCACACAGTTCCTTATGTTGTGGCGACCCCCCAACCATAACGTTATTTTCGTTGCTACTTCATCACTGTCATTTTGCTGTTATAGATTGGGCAACCCCTGTGAAGGAGTCTTTCAGACCCCCAGCGGGGTCGCGACCCACAGGTTGAGAACCGCTGGTCTAAGGCCTTTCATTTCCCGCAGGCCAACAGCAGACTCCGCAGGCGTGCAGGCGAGGGCCTCCCCGGGGAGGGGCTGCGGAGGCAAGGGTGGGAACATCATCCCGTCTTCACGGGAACAATCAAGGGAAGTAGCTGAGCATACTCCATGGCTGACTATCTGTCCCCTGAGCAAAACTGCGGTAAGACTTCAAATGTCTATCAAGAGCCTCCCAATGTCTCTGTCTGTAGTGGAAAGACCCACGGTTAACCCGTTCCACCGTTGAATTTTGGAGGCAGATCACGTGTAGACACCAGTTCGATGACGAGGGATTTTGTCCCCGGACAGCAGTTGGACTCAGACTTGGGCAGAGATGTTTGAAATGACATGATATGGTAAATATGCTCCGTAAGGACATGAACTTGGTGCAGGGGACACAAAGGCTGGCATGGCCTGGATTGAATTGTGGCTGGGCCGTAGTTCTCTGTGGCTTGGCAGTTAGGTGATGATGTCATTTGGCAGTTTTGGGATGATGCAATCACCCCACCCCAGTGTGGGCTGATGGGATCAGCTGCTCGGTCCTGAGGTGGTTGGGGTGGATGAGACACCCTTACTGAGGCCACAGCCCTGGTCCATGGAAGGGAAGCTTCCTTGGGGTGCAGCCTGCATCACTTTGGATCATTCAGGAGGTGGAAGGGCAGAGGAAAGCACATAGGTCAGAGGGGCCGACTACCCTCCAGAGAGAAGGAGTGGAGTGCCTCATGTGAACGTGGGGCCCCCTCTGCCCGCGCTGGGAACCTCCTAGACCCAGCAGAACAGAGACAGAAAGCCTTCTGCCAGAGCTGGTCGCACAATGTATGAGTCCAGCCAGCTGAACACAGAAAGAAAACGCTTCAGTCTCTGAAAGCCCCCGCCCCCCCCCCAGTGGGGAATGTCTGTGATCGCAGCCTCTGAGCACTGAGCGGGGAGGGCCATCTAGCTCCTGCTGCCCAGAGGTTAGAGACCCACTGAATAGGGCAGGGAAATGCACCACTGGAACTGAGACGACAACATCAGCAGGTGCTGAGGCACTCCGAACAAGCTCTGGTGGCACAGGGGTTAAAGCCCTCGCTCCCAACCAAGAGGTCAGTGGTTCTAACCCACCAGCTGCTCTGTGGGAGAAAGATGAGGCCATCTGCTCTCATAAAACTGACAGCCTCTGAAAGCCAACCAAGCAGGCCTACTCTGCCCTGCGGGGGCTCCAAGTGACGTGATGGCAGTGCGTTTGGTTGGGCCGAAGAATATCAGGCCATCAAAAAGGCTAATTTTGGGCCAGCACCATGGGTCAACCAGGAAAGGGACTTCTCAGCATGACTGAAACAGAGGATGGACAGACCCTGCAGGTCAGGGTAGAAGTGCACCCTGGGGCATCCAGGGCTGTCACCCCGACAGAAGCAGACTGCCACATCTTGCCCCCTAGGGGCTGCAGCTGGGTTCAAACCACTGACCACGTGGCTAGCAGCATGGCACTTTAACCACTTCACCAGGGCACCCGGCGCTTGACCACCCTCTCCTGTCTTGTAAAGCAGATGTGAGGGGCTGATGGTGTGGACGGATCCATGCACCCTGGAAAGGTCTACAAGGGGCTGGGAGGCAGGGGTGGGGGGTGGTACATACAACCAGTGCACTTGGCTGCTAAACGACAGGGTGGTGGTTTGAAGGCACCCAGAGGTACATCAGAAGCAGGGCCTGGCGATCAACTTCTGAAATGCCAGCTGCTGAAATCCCTTACAGCACACGGTTCCACTCTGACTCCAACACGGCCACAAGGGTCACTGTGGCCTGGCAGGGGGTGCTGTGTGGCTCCGAGGGTCTGCCCAAGACTAGATTCAACTCTGGCTGGTCCCTCAGTGACCATGGCCGGTGACCTCTCCTGGTCGGATGCATTTGCATTGGCCGCCACCTCTTTGGGTGCTAAAACCCATGTGCTTCTGGCTCTCCAAAGTGGAGGGCCCTTCAAACCTGGAGGCACACCAGCCCTGGAAATCGCCATCAGCCCAACACCAGGCAGGCCCACACAGTGAAGTGGCCCAAGCTCAGAGGGCAGGAGAGAGGGACCCTGGGACAGTGCTGTCACATGGAGGAGACAAGACCGCAGTCCGTGCCACCAAACAAAACGTGGTTGAGGGCCGCTCATGTTCCCTGTTCATTTCCACCCCACCATCCAAAGCCGAAGCTCAAAGGCTCCGTGAAGCTGAACGAAGGGAAACAAAACCGAACAAACCCAGCCCAGCGGCTGCCAGAGCACCGGCAGGGCACCCCCCACCTCTCAGGGTGCCATCATCAGCAGGAGTCCCCGCTGGGTGAGAAAACCAGGGCTCTCACCTGACGATCTGCTCTGAAACAGGCCTGTGAAACTTGGGGGGCAAATCGAGTTTGGGCTTCACTGTGAAGCACTGGATATCTGGGGAGGGGACGGAGGCTAAGGACCCACAGACAGTGCAGACGTGGACCCGAGCACGGCACGGCGTGCTCCCTCCAGTGACCCACCTCCACCCCACCCCCACCCTGGTCCAGCAGGCCTGCCACCAAGGATACACTGGCCGGGGGAACTTTTAATCTCGTCGCCAGGCGGGGACGTGGTCTTCATCTTCTCGGCGTTTGGAAACTGAGTCAGCAGCCGCGCCTCGAAATCCTCCCTGCGTTCATACTCCTTGCCGCGGTAAATGAAGACTTTACCCTGCAGACGGGACTCTACTTAGAACACACTAAGGCTGGGGACAGGCGGTGGCGGGTGGTGGGTGGGTGGGGTGGGCAGGGCGGCAGTGCACAACTGGAGACCAAGGCTCTGGTCAGAGGACACTGAGGGCAGTGAGGGAGGCATGGTAGTTACATAATCTGTTGTCAATTTGAGAGGATTAAGAGTGAAGGGGTGGACTTTAGCCTGTCAGTCGGGTTGCAGCTTGATAACCTCAGTTGGAGGTGCTAAAGAGATAAGTAGCTTGCTTGAGGTGGGACATAGGCTCACTCCCTGGAAGACAATGCAGCTCACAAGACACATGGAACTACACTAGCGCCCGGAGCTGGAGAAGCCACGTGGTAACCCCTGCCAGCACTGAGATGCTCACATTGCCACTGGATCCACAGGACTCTCCACTCACTGGCCTGCGATCTTTCTGCATTTGGCATCATTTAACATGTTTTGTGAGTCTGAAGAGGACTTTATAAATTGGTATTGGGCATATGGGCTGTCGGACTTATGGGCTTGGATTGGACTAGGCTGGGGTGCTGTGTGTATGTGTGTGTGTGTCCTCTCCCCAGCTTTCTCCTCTCCACTTTGGGGTTCCATGTGTCTTCGAGAACCATTATAGAAGAAAAAGGCCCTGTTTCTCCAAGAGGAGAGAATGTGGAACAAACCGAAACCAGACGCAGCCTCAATGAGAAATATAACTAGGCAGAAACGCCCTGGCAGCCGCGCTTCAAGGCGGCGGAGGGGGAACCGGTCGGGTGAGATTGAACACGCTCACAGGCCACGCTGACGCCGGCGTGCTAATAAAAGCGGAGACTTTCATGCAGGCACACCCGTGAGTTACAGATGAGCCACGGGCACCCTTCTACAGGATGCCAATTGCGCTGCACTCTGAAGTGGGCTCAGCACACAGGATGGGTGGGGGTGGGGGCTAATGCAAGCCTAAGCAAAGAGACGTCTGTCTTCCTAGGAGAAGCGATAAATCATCATCTAGACGCAGAGAAGAAATGGGTTGAGAGCAGCGAGGCAAAGGGACAGCCAGTGGCTGTGGGAGGCAGGTGGGCTGGGACGGGTGGCAAACGCACTGCAGTATTTAGGATTAGTGGCTGGGTCAGTGCTAGCCGAGTCCAGGCCGTAAGCTCTCCGTTGACACCTTGTCACACACCACCACCACCACCACCCCACGTTCCCTGCCCTGCCATCCCAGGGGCCAGCAGGCCACAGGCTTGGCCACTGCAAAGTGCTCCCCTCCCGGGTCATTTCATCCACCTGGTCAGGGTTTCCTTTCCACCTGGGTGGCCTGCGATTAGGGTGCACCCCCGTCCACAGGGGCCACACACACCGAGTACGGGGCAGGCCCAGCCCGGGAGGAAGTTCAATGCCCCCACTTCCCCACAGGATCTCGAAAGTGTCAGGCACCATATTTACCCGGAGGAAGGTGGGGAATCCTTGCCCGTAGTAGCCAACGGCAAAGTAGTCCGGCTTGGGCCGTATCACTTTGACGATGTTTTCGTAAAACTGCGCCTGTTTTTTCTGGAAGGAAAGAAAGGAGAGGCATCGGTGGGGGCCTGGGAGAGCATCTGAACCTCATTTTTCTGGATCCCTCTGCAGCATTCTCAGCAGCATGGGGGAGACAGGAGGTGGCAGGGATCTGCCACAGGCACTGCAGTTCACTCAGCTATCACCGTCCACTGTGCTGCAGCAGGGGCAGCTGCCAAGATGCTGCAATGGACAACAGGCTGCAAGTCAGGGGCCTCATGGGTACTCTCTGGCCTACTCACCGCAAGGTCGGCAGTTTGAAACCACCAGTGGCTCCCCCAGAGAAAGATGAGGCTTTCTATTCCCAGTAAGAGGTACAGTCTCTGAAACCCACAGAGGCAGTTCTACATTGTCGTATAGGGTCGCTAGGAGTCAGCATCAGCTTGACAGTGAGTTTGGCCCCCCCCATTAATTAAGGGGTCCCCAACACAGTTCTATTTCTGCCTTCACGATAGGACCTTACTGTTATTAATGCATAAATGGTGCTGAAAACAAAAACAAGATGAAAAACACCCAAACCCACGGCCGTGGGGGTGATGTTGACCAACGCGACCCTGGAGAACTGAGCAGGACTGCCTCCCGGGGATCCTGACGCTGCTGAGCTGTATAAAAGGAGGTGACCACATCCTTCTCCTTTGAAGCAGCAGGTGGGTTCAGATGGTCAGCCCTTTCCTGATGCGCAGCTGAGCGCTGTCAGCACCGTGCCACCAGGCCTCCTCCGGGTCCCACGGGGGACATACAGACAGTGGGAAGGGGCAGGGTGGCTCTTCTCGGAATCACTGGTTGGTGTGTCAACGTTCTAAGGCTCTTGTTCCCACTGCCACTCAGGGATTCTGGCCCCTGGCAGCTCCACGTGGTACCAGGTAGAAGTGTGCCCCGGAGGGTCTCACGCAGAGCCACTAGGGGGTTTCAAACCATCGGCTTTGAGCTTAGCAGCAGATTGCAGGCCCCTTGCATCACCTGGCTGCTCCTTACTCAGGCGAGTCTCGGGAGTGCGCCGCTGACGCGCTCAAAACATTGGGCAGAGACTCACAGAGCGTCTGTGGCCATGAAAGGCCTGCAGGCCTCTGACTGCTCCAGGGCCCCCGGGGAGAAGGGTCATCATTTTAAACCAACTGACATTCTAAGGGCTTAGGACCTTCAGGTGCACAGCCGGGATGCCGGCAGCAGCTGTTCCAATACAAACCGTTCCGCGACGTCTTCGAGTTTGGCCCCCAAAGCTGACTCGGGAATAGAGTGGATCCTGACAGACCAGAATGTGCCAGGGGGTCAATCAGGGCCATCCCCTGCACAGGACGGAGCCCTGACACGAAGCCGACCCTGATACAGAGAGAGAATGGACAGGCCGGAAACCACGAGGCCCCTGCACCCGTTCAGTGAAGCGAGAGGCTTACCAGCAGCTCGCTGAGTTGCTCGTAATCGAACATCTCATTTTCATACTGCTCTGCCAGCTCCTTGCCCAGGGCGATGGCTTCCTCCCACATCTGTGAGGAGAAAGAAAGAGACGGGAGAAAGAGGACACGGACCGATCATGTGGTCCAGGAGCAAAACAGGTAAGGCATCCGTTCTTAGGTAAACCATACTAAAGCACTTCTGGTTACCAAGGAGCAGTGTGGGAACCTCGCTGGAGAGGAGACAATGAAGGTCTCAAAGCTCACGTCCTTTGGGACCTGACCGGGCAGCAGGTGGCTGCACTGCTCCTAACCAGAGGCTCATCAATCATGAGGATGGCCACCCACAGCCAGGCAGCCTGTGGCCTGGTCCTCAGACGACGCGGGG